AATTTCACTCTTCTGACTCCAAGTCCAAAGTTCTTTTCATTACAGTATTTTGAAATGGCCTTTTCTCCTCAGCTTTGAGAATATTTGAAGATACAGAGAATTTTTATAAGGATAATGGTCACCTCTACAGTGTTTTATTGTTCATAGGGTGCCATAGGAATATATATGTGTGTGGTCCTTGCCGAGACAGGCAGCAGGGGGAAAATTTTCTGCTTTTGTCTAAGAATGCCAGCACTGAAATATGACTGGCAGAAGGTAAAGGAAAACTAAATCTACAGTTCCTCTTCTGCTTGTCTCTGTCTATGATTTTCCTCCCCAAATGACTGTCAGACTAATACAAGAAGTTCCCATCTTACAAACAAATTCATCTGCAAATGAGGTATTTGGCACTTGGAACACATTTTCCAATAGGAACCATGTTACAAATATTAATTGATTTCACAGACTATCGTTTCAAATACTAATTCACTTTGCTGCTGAAATAATGTATACTTGAAGAGAAAAAATAGTAGAAAAAAGACTTCTGATACTTTAATAGAATCTTTAAAACAAGGCTTTTTAGAGCTTCAAATTCATCTGCTTCCCATTTTGCATTTCACGAATGAGAAAACTGAGGCCATGACAAGTTTAGGGACTTGCCCAAGGTCATACATCTAGGTAGTAATACAGCCTACATTTTGAGATTCTTGAGGGCAAGAACCATGTTTCATTCATTTTTGTATCTTCATTACTAAAAAGCATGCTGCCAGTTATATAGTAGATGTTTTAAAAATTTGCTAAATTGAATTCAGTGAACCAGTACAAGAAACTCAGCCTGCTGCCTCCTAATCACTAACCAACAAGCACAGAAAACACAAAAATATTCATATAATATTCATACATAATTATATTTTTGTATATTGTACCTTTATGTTTATATGTGGCTTTATATTTAAATTATCATCTTAATAGTGCTGGAGGAATATGATATGCATGTTAAATTAGAGAAGGATAGACAGAGTTGGAAATTTTCAATGAGTAACTTCACAGCACTTTCAAGGAGTTAAAAGTCTGATTACACCAGTCTTTAATTTTTATTTCACTTAAAAACCTAATGTTTTCTTTTTTTATTGTAAAGTTGTTTCACTACCACCACTCTTATGCCTGTCACCTATGATTAGGGTTGTGTTTCCTCCAACAAGTGAATTGAAGATAGAGAAGTGGGAGTGGCAGAGATTTCTCTTGAGGTAATTGGATAAGATTTTGAAGAGAAAAGAGGGAGGAAGGAGATTAAAGACTTTGGAATGTACTGGGTCAGAAAGGATTGCCTGGAGTGAAATCAATTGATAATTAAAGACAAAATAAGAGTGAGAATCTCTTGAAAGGGGGGAAGTGGAAAGAAATGGGAAGGTACATTAGGTTAGGTAGGACATCAGGTATGAGTAGAACTTCCTACTCTAGGCATCAAGTAGTGCTGTCAGCCTTGATTATTTCCTGTCTATAGTAAAGTAGGGATTGAAGGGCCTCTCTGACATAATGAGTGGGGGGGGGTGAAGTATGGTCTGGGGAGTAATGTGAAACCCCAATAATTTATATGTATAAGATAGTTAAATTCAGCTTTTTGCATCTAGTATCCATACTATTGTTTAAACCCTCAAATAGTAGGAAGACCAGGTGAGGTAGGCTCCTACTATTAGTTCTTCTGGCACAGTCTATCTAAAAATATACATACATACATATATATACATACACATACACACACATATATTTCAATAGTTATCTTTCTAGTCTATTTTTGCATTTAGGTCTTAGGAGTTATAAGTGGGCTGGTGATGAAGCAGAATAGATCCTCATTTTTTTCTTTTTAAGTTCCTTTTGCTGCCAGTGCTTTTACTAGTTTGAAAACCAGAATTTGAAATACATGTTATTGTAAAGCCCTGTCTTAAAATATTTCTTGAGTCTGTTTTTTTTCAGTTCTGCCCAATTCTTCAGGACCCTATTTGGTGTTTTCTTGATCAAGACACTGGAATGGTTTTCCTTCTCCAGCTCATTTTATAGATAAGGAAACTGAGGCAAACAGGGTTAAGTGACTTGTCCGGGATCACATAGTAAGTATAGAAGTCAGATCTGAATGCAGGAAGATAAGTCTTTCTGACTTCGGTCCTGGCACTCTATCTACTGTGCCACTTAGCTGCCAAAACGTTTCTTGCCTTTAGCATAGTTCTGTTTTTGAAAACATTAATATGATGTGATTCTGAGGTCAATGTCAAAGCTCTCTTGCAGGGTAGCTCAATTTAAATTTTGTCTTTAGTCTCCTTTGTCATGACTGTGAACTTTTGACCATAATGGAAGTGAGGTGGAGGGAATTCTAGTGGCATGGGACCCAAGCCCACCAGAGTCCAGTTTGGCTTTTTAAAAGCCTGCCCTTTCCCTGGAAAAGGAGTATAGAGGAACTTCTGGGCTACTGACACTCAGGTTCCAGGTACTCTTTGATTCAGTGACACTGGCTTCCTGGTTATTTCAGGAGCTACACATTCCACCTCTAGGATCTGGGTATTTCCTCTGTCTATACCCCCTTCTTGGAATGCTCTTCTTCATGGCTCCCCTGCCTTCCTTGAAATTTCAACTAAAATCCCATTTTGTACAGGAAGCCTTTACCAATCCCTCTTAATTCTGGAGCCTTCCGTCTGTTCATTATTTTCTAATTATCCTGGATAGAGTTTGTTTGTACATATTTATTTGCTCTGTTTCTCCCCCATTAGATTGTGAACTCCTGAAGAGCAGGGACTGTCTTTTGCTTCTATTTAGATCCCTGGCACTTAGCACAATGCCTAACACACAGCAGGCACTTAATAAATGCTTATTGATTGGATTGATGTCATACTTTCAGCAAAGCAGTATTTCTCCTTGGACTGTGTGCATCATCATTTGTTCTCGTGGTCTGACTTATGCAGATACATTTAAGTGAATAATGTTTATTAATTCCTTCTCTAACCTGTTGGGATAATTTCCATATTTATCTGAGGAGGGAAGCAATATGTAACTCAGAAGTATTTTGATCACACTGTTCCCTCTTCCTGCAATGCCCTCCCTGCTATACTTATTGATTCCTACCCATATATTTTCTAAAGCTTATATAATGATACATTGTGGTAGATTATAGTTAGTGATGTATGTGCCATAAGTTCAAAAGATGTCAAGTGGGAAGGGATCTTAGAAGTCACCTGGTAAATGTCATTACTTACAAATGAGGAAATTGGAACCCAGAAAGACTAAGTGATTTGTTCATGGTCATACAGATATTAAGCATCAGATGTTAGAGTTAAACCTGACCCTCTGATTACAAAACCAAGATACTTTTTACTATACCATGAAGATTCATACTAGACTATAAGGCTCCATGACAACAAAACCTTCTCTTATTCTATGTGTGTATCTCTCAAAGTGCCCTGTTCATAGTGAGAACTTAATAAATATTTATTGAATTGAGTTCTGCAAATAGCTTTCAAATTTTTTGCTGCAGCTGAGTATTTGGAAGAAATACTCCTAACATTTTATATTTCATCCTTATTCCAAATTCAAAGTATCAAACCATCAAAGAATCAATATTTCCTCTTAGTCTGTGAATCATTACTTGTGCTTCCCTCATTAAAAGGTACCTCATTGTAGGTGACAAGTCTTTTGTACATGAGCTCATCAATCAGAAAAGTCACATTTTGAAATCATCCAGGACCAAAAGGAGACCACAGATCTTCTTCAAACTTATCAGGCCAAAGTCTATCCAGACTTGCAGAGCAATTCTTGGTTGGTAGTATTGGTGTTTTAACAACAAATTACACAGAAGGAAATTTATGTGCTGTGGAACTAACCAACTCAAGCACAAGATATGCGATTCTGCCCCTGCCCTTTCATGTATTCAGAAAATGTAACACGATTGATTTCATATCTTTACAAAATGTAGACCAGATCAAAGCGTACTTTGTTGTTGTTTGGTCATTTTTCAGTTGTGTGCTTCTCTTTGTGATCCCTTTTGGAGTTTTCTTGGCAAAGATGCTGGAGTGGTTTGCAATTTCCTTCTCCAGCTCCTTTTATAAATGGGGAAACTGAGGCAAATGAGGATAAATGACTTGCCCAGGGTCACACAGCTAGTAAGTGTCTGAGGCCAGATTTGAACTCAGGACTTTCTGACTCCAAGCCTGGTACTCTATCCACTGCATCATCTAGCTATTCTACTAAAGTGTACATAGATAAATCAATACATAAAAAAGTCTGGTTAAAGTTAGATTTGTTCTTCTATGTCTATAACATTCTTTATATGCTGCTAAAAACATTTTATAGAGATTCACAAAATTTAAAGTTAGGACAATAAATTTGAGTTCATGTGTGCATAGGAGGGGGAGCACATACATTTATATAGAAGAAAATAAATTTAGAGACATGATTCTACCAAAAAGTAAACACAGGAAAAGGGACCCAAACATTATGTTTATGTTCGGTGATTTTTGTGTTGTTCACATTAAAAATCAAACTAATAATTACATTGTGAATTTTTCATAGCCTAAATAGTAGTGAACAATGATTGAGATAGTTAAATAAATCCCTTTCTTTTACCATGAGAGAAATAACTACATAAATCTTTGGGATCACATTACATTCAAATTCAACTTGACTGATTTTTGAATGAGAAATACCACTTTAAAAGCAAATTCTTTCATCCTAGAGAGTATATAAACAGCCAAAAGAACAGGAAAGGAAAAATGTATTGTCTCAATGCATGCTTGAATGAATAAATCTTTTGCAGATTACTAATAGTCAATAACATTATTTGGAAGATTTGGAGGTAATCTGGTTTGCATTAAACATATTTACACTTTAAAATGCCTCATGAATTAAGTAAAGTTTTACTACAAACAGATGCTAAGGAATATGAAAATATAGAGTGATTTTGTAGGAAGATAATTATTATCTTTAGAGTTTAATTGGCCAGGTTTTCAGGGGAAAAAATGTCTTCTTTCTTCCAGAGAGCACAGACAGACGAATTGGAAAAAATTGAAAAGCATGGCAGATCATGCAAAGAAAAAGAAAATGCCAAGTCTTTGGACAAACCTGAACAGTAAGCATGCCTCTTATAGCCAAAGAGGAATCATCCAGGAGATGTGTGGGCTATTTCCATTAGGAAAGTGCAGTATCTTAAGTACATAATTGCTAGGAATGATATAAGGCTAAACATCTGTTTATGTGAATTATATTTTCCCTCTTAATTTGACTCTCTTGCTTCAGGTTCCTTTATGAACTATCACTAATACCCAACTTTTCAGAGCGAGTCTTTTGCATCCTGTTCCAGTCAACATTTTCAGAAAGCATTTGCTCGATTCGTCGCAAACTTGAACTACTCCAGAAGTTGTGTGAGGTGGGTTCTGGTCCATAGAAAGCTGGGACTAGATCTCTGATATTTAATCACATTCAGTCATGTTCATATTTCAAAAGTTTTCTTTTTATTTACTCTAAGTCCTCATTAAATATGAAGGATCGCAGTCCTGCCGAATGGAACATTTTATGATGGTGCTTCCAGATCAAAGCACATGTTCAGATTGGCTTTCAGGGCTTCACTACAGCATCATAAGATTCCTGCCAATGCACATCAGCCTCTAGAGAATACTGTGCCTTCTGCTGCTGCCAAAGCAAAATCTTCACTTTGCAGAGGCTTTCATACATCCGACATCTAAATGAATGCCATTTGAGAGCATTCTGTTTGCATTCTTTGATTTTTGGAAGGGACTGCTCAACAAATTGCTAATAATTAGTCCATCCCAATGATTTGGAGACAACAACATAGCTGAATTTTGAGGCTAAAATGCCTCCTTGAAGTTGGAGTATTAATACTCTGCATAAATTGTTAGTATCAAAATTTTAAAATGCTGTTCATTAGTCTAAGGGCAGCAATACCATTCTCTCTTCTATTAGTAAAACATTTTCAAAAAACTTGATGAGCTGGGTATAAGTAATACAAAGTTAAGCCTAACACAGCAGTTTGGAAGAAACAAGTGTGAAATATTTGGGGTAAATTTAATCTCATTATAAAATGCATTTCTTTACATCAACATTTTTAGTGTTAGTTTTGATGCCAGATTACTTGGGTTGCTAAGAAGATATGTAAAATTAGAATAGTTATAAAGAATTTCTCTTTCATTGAAATAGTTGTTGTTTCACAATTCTCCTTTTTCTAGCCCTCTTTAGTTTAGCAAAGAATAGGAGACATGGCATAAGGTACTTGCTCACTGTCTCTCAACCACCCTCTTTGATTCATGTGTGAAATGTATGTTAGAATGTGTTAATATAGTTGCTATGGGTTTTTTTTTTTCCTTTCTGTGCTGATGTAGTTGGTTTAAGGTTTTTTTTTTCCTTTATGTATATGTGTATATAAATGTTACTTCTGTGTCTTTTGTGATTTTCTTAACATGTATTTTAGATATTTTCTAATAAAGTACAACTTGTAAGTAGGAATAAAGACAAATGGATATGACCTAAAATGTTAGTGAATGTATTGGAAGCTTGGCATATTGTGTGATAACAATTCTTGTAAAATTGATAAATGTTATACAAAATTTTAATTAAGAAAAATTGTTCTTTATCCTATTTTGCAGACATTGAAAAATGGGTCAGGGGTTATGCAGGTTCTAGGTCTGGTTCTTGCCTTTGGTAATTACATGAATGGTGGGAACAAGACTCGGGGACAGGCAGATGGTTTTGGATTAGACATTCTTCCAAAGCTGAAAGATGTCAAAAGCAGTGTAAGTATTTTTATGACTGACTGTAGGATCACTAGAAGATGAGATTATTTTGTTAGTAATAAGGAGTTTCATTATTTGTCCTTTGTAATAATTGTTTCTTTATACCTTGATGCCAAAATACATCTAAGTAAAAGAAATGTTCATTTTCGTGTGTATGTGTTTTGAGTATTAGAATGTTTCCTTAAATAAGTAACCATTAATCCTATGTCCTTCTTGATGACTATGACTTCAGCTAGAACTACATATTTCTTTCTTGATTTCTTGCCCAATTCTGTATATGCCAAAGACCATCTGCCCTACGGCAAATTTTTCTAAATCATATATCTGAAAGACTTTTACTTTTCCTAGGATAAAATAGCATATAGCTATTTTTTTCCATTTAAATTAATTATTTAGATGCTAACCAGTGGAGACCAATAGGTTCAAGTCCTTAAAAAATTAGAAAGAGTCCAACACAACTCATTCTAAAAGGGGTGAAATACTTAATTAAAGTAGAAAATAGAGCTAGCCACAACAGTACAATTATCTCTTCCTAATCCTCAGAATAGATGATCTGTCTAATGTTTCGAGTTCAAAATCTTATGAATCCATAAGTCTAATCACTGTCCTTGCATGTGTGATACTACTAAGAAAAGAAATTGGTAAAAGAGATTAAAAATTTTAAATAGCAAACATTTAGGAGGACTGAATATTTTAGGAATCTACCTACATGTATGTATTTGCAGTGGTGCTAATGGAGAGGAAACTATGAAACATTAGAAAAACTGTCAAAAAATTGGAATCAAGATTATATATAATAGTATTTATTCCTATTATTTTCCACTGAAAAGTTGTTGACTTTTTGCTAAAAGTTGCAAGTTTCTAAACTTTTTTCTGTTAGTTACTGAATAATCAACTTCATATGATTTTTATTTTTGATAGAGTTCTACCTGTAAAACCTACTACATTTGTTGCCTGTACATTTTCATTGTAATTTCTGGTATAGAAATAATTTGTTATTATTTCCCAATAGAGGTAGAGTTTTAAACACATAGATTATTAGGGAAATTTTTTAAAAGGAGCATACTTTTCTGTCTATTATATCCCTGTTGAATTGAATAGAAATATCATTTCCAAATGATTTAGAACCTATAAATAATACCAGATTAGGCATCTGCTAATTTTTAATATGGAACCTTAAGCAGATTCTTGAGCAGATTATGAACATAATAAAAGAATATCTTCTGTTTTCATTCTATTTAAGGATCATGTTTTAGTCAGTTCCCCAAAGGCAAATCCCATTGATTCAAATCAAAATATGGTCTAGATTGAGAAATCAACATTCAGTCATGAAATAAGAAGTAATTTACCTTTTTGTATGGCCCAACATAAGTTACAAAACTATTTCAGTATCCTTGCTAAATTAGAAATAATTGTGTTTATTCCTGGATTTTTTTTATATCTCCATAGAGAAAATTAGAGTACTATAATTACTTTTACTGTTACCATCTGTAGATTACTTTTATGCAGCACTTCAAGGTTTACAAAGTATTTTACTTATATAGGGTATCCCAAAAGTCAGTGCAGTGTTAAGTTATCAAATCTACTTTAAGTTATAAAGCTATTAAAGATACCTAGTTGTGTGACCCTAGGAATGCCACTTAGCCTTCTTGATCCTGGGATTCTTCATGAAATGGGGATAATAATAGACCACATGGCATTGTTCTGAGGATTATACGAGATTACCACAAGGTCTCCCAAAAGTCTTAGTGTGGTTTTAAGTTATTAAAGGTTAAAGCTGCAATAGGACTATTGGACATGTTGTGTAATCTCATATAATTAATGCTTAAAAATAAGTTTTAAGTTGTTAAAGCTTAAAAATGCACTAAGATTATTGGGACACCTTGCCTCATACAATCCTTAGAACAATGCCATGTGGTATATTATTATCCCCATTTCATGAAGAGTACCAAGATCAAGAAGGTGAAGTGGCATTCCTAGGGTCACAAAGCTAGCAAATATCAGAGATAACATTTGCATCTGAGCCTTCCTAATTCTAAAATACTATCACAGGATTATACAGATTACTGTGAGCAAGCCTCTAGTCAATATATCATTGACTGATTTCAACCTAATTAGCAGGTTCATGTTAATAGAGTTAATAGAACCACAAACCAAAAATGATAAGTGAAAGCCACTCAGATCACTGAAAAGCAAATCCTATTTTAGGGTGAGAAATCTAGATTAGGAAATCATATTTAAAGTAGTGGGGGAGGAGTATGAAGAGGGAAGAGTAATGTTTAGAACAAAAATAAAAATAAACCTATAACCATGGGCTAAAATAATAACAAACCTAAAATCCAGGAGCATGTATAGCTTATCTTGGGAGATTTAGTTTAAAGTAGGTAAAGTCTAAATGTCATTCACAATATTTATGTCGCATGGTTTTGATTCAAATGTGATAGCAATGATGAGTAATGCATACAATTTCTAGAGCCAGATCAGTCCCTATATGAATATGACACAAAAGTGAAAAAGTAGCCTCTTAAGCCTGAGATTTTGCATATTTTCTGCAGAACTCATAATAAATTATTCATTATGCTATATGTACAAATTCCTAAAAGTCTGCCAGACCGGATGGTTTATGTAACAATTCATTATCTAAAATGATTGCTATGAAGCCCAAGTGATTTTTAAATAATTTTATTCTTTTTTGTGTTGGGGGGGTTCATTTATGATTTCTCTTTTCTGTGAACTGAGTCACAAGCCCAGAGGTGATTATATAGTTCCTATAACTGGACATAGGGTCCTGTCAATTCTAAATTTTTTCAAATAAAATGAAGTCATACATTTCAACATTAAAAATAGCTTGCCTCTAAGAAATATTAAATTATGTGTATGACTCAGGAAATAAATAAAGCAAACAAAAACAAAAGAATATTTATAGTTGAAAGACCACTTTTAACCAGTTCTGATACTGGTCTGATTAAAGGAGGAATAATGTTAAGTAGATGATCTTTCCTGAAGCAGTTAAATCTCTTAGGTACAGGAAGACAGTTTGTCTTATAAAATTTCACTTTTCATTTAAAATGTCATCATATATAGGTTATTGTCCAGAATTTTTTTAAAAATTCTAGTAGTGAGTGAAATTTAAATGACCTTTACTCACTTTGATCTTTCTGCCTAGGACAATAGCCGGAGTCTTTTGTCATATATAGTTTCATATTATCTTCGAAATTTCGATCAGGTGAGTGACTGTAATTTCTATGTACGCAGCTAAATTTGCTCTGACTCAATGTGAATTGAGTGATTTCATGATGTATATGTTTGTTTGTTTCTTCTATGCCTGTGGATAGCCATTCTTTCAAAAAACCATTTCCTCCCCCCACCTTGTTTGTCAGGATGCTGGAAAAGAACAATGTGTTTTTCCACTGCCAGAACCCCAGGACCTCTTTCAGGCCTCCCAGATGAAGTTTGAAGACTTTCAGAAAGACCTTCGAAAGCTGAAGAAAGATTTGCGAGGTAACAAGATACAATGCAGTATGATAATCCATCTATATATTTTCACCATGGTGATGGACAAAGGGTACCTTTTTAATGTGATGTGGAGAACATATTAATTTTTGGGTAGCCTTTGTTTTGGGTAGTTTAACTAACATTTCTGTGAGCAAAAAAAAAAACTATCATGCTTACTCTTTGCTGTGTCTAACACCAAACCAGACAAATCTAGGTATTCAGCAGAGTACTTCTTTTTTTAATTAATTTATTTTGATTTATCAAAAATCACTTCCATAGGCTTTTGAGCTTTAAATTTTTCTCCCTTTCCCTCCCCACTCCCTCCCCAAGATGACTTGCAATCTGGTATAGGTTATACATATACATTCCTATTAAACACATTGTCACATTAGTGATGTTGTAAGGAAGAATTAGAACCAATAGGAAGAACCATCAGAAAGAGGAAACAAAGCAAAACAGAAGAAAAGAATAGCAAATAATATGCTTCGATCTGCACTCAAACTCCATAGTTCTTTCTTTGGATGTGGATAGCATTTTCTACCATGAGACCTTTAGATCCTTGCATTGTTGAGAAGGGTCAAGTCTGTCAACTTTAGTCATAGCACATTGTGGCTGTTACTGTGCACAATGTTCTCCTGGTCTGCTCACTTCACTCAGCATCAGTCCATACAAGTCTTTCCAGGTTTTTCTGAAGTCTGCTTGCTCATCATTTCTTATAGCACAACACTATTCCATTACATTCATATACCACAACTTGTTCAGTCATTCCCCAAATGATAGGCATTCCCTCAATTTCTAATTCTTTGCCCCCACAAAAAAGAGCTACTATAAATATTTTTGTATATGTGGGTCCTTTTCCCATTTGTATGATCTCTTTGGGATACAGCCCTAGAAGTGCTATTGCTGGGTCAAAGGTTATGTACATTTTTATAGCCCTTTGGGCATGGTTCCAAATTGCTCTCCAAAATGGTTAGATCATTTCACAACTCTACCAACAATGCATTAGTGTTCCAATTTTCTCACATATTCTCCAACATTTATCATTTTCCTGTTTTGTCATGTTGGCCAATCTGATAGCTGTGATGTGGTACCTCAGACTTGTTTTGATTTGCATTTCTCTAATCAATAATGATTTAGAGCATTTTTTTATATGACTATAGATAGCTTTAATTTTTTCATCTGACAACTGCTTGTTCATATCCTTTGACCATTTATCAATTGGGGAATGACTTGTATTCTTATAAATTTGACTTAATCCTCTATATATTTTAGAAAATGAGGCCCTTATCAGAGACACTGGTTGTAAAAATTCTTTCCCAGTTTTCTACCTTCCTTCTAATCTTAGTTGCATTGGCCTTGTTTGTGCAAAAACTTTTCAATTTAATGTAATCAAAGTTATCAATTTTGCTTTTCATAATGTTCTCTATCTTCTGTTTGGTCATGAATTCTTCTGTTCTCCATAAATCTGACAGGTAAACTATTCCTTGCTCTCCCAATTTGCTTATGGTATCATCAGCATTTATATCTAAATCATGAACCCATTTTGACTTTATTTTGGTGTAAGATTTTGGTCTATGCCTAGTTTCTGCCATACTCTTTTCCAGTTTTCCCAGCAGTTTTTGTCAAATAGTGAGTTCTTATCCCAGAAGCTAGGGTCTTTGGGTTTATTAAATAGTAGATAAGTATATTCTTATCCCAGAAGCTAGGGTCTTTGGGTTTATTAAATAGTAGATAAGTATAGTCATTGACTGTTATGTCTTGCATACCTAACCTGTTCCACTGATCTACCACTCTGTTTCTTAGTCAGTACAACATAGTTTTGATGATTGCTGCTTTATAATACAATTTAAGATCTGGAACAGCTAGGCCACCTTCCCCTGCATTTCTTTTCTTTAGTTCCCTTGATTTTCTGAACCTTTTGTTATTCTAAATAAATCTTATCATTATTTTTTCTAGCTCTGTAAAATAATTTTTGGTAATTTGATTGGCATGGCACTGAATAAGTAAATTAATTTTGGTAGAATTGTCATTTTTATTATATTAGCTCGGCCTACCCATGAGCAACTGATGTTTTTCCAATTATTTAGATCTGACTTTATTCGTGTGGAAAGTCAGCAAAGTACTTCTTGAATCTAATATGGAATATATAGATGGGATTACATTTCTTCAGTATTTCTTGTAGTCTTGTTTTCAGTATGCCACATCTCTTTGGGATTTTGCGTTATGTTTATTTCTTCTTATAAATCTTATTAACATTATCTTCCCTCCTAACTCCCAGCATTTGTGGCTTCTGAATTATGTCACTTTTTATGCAATCAAACTCTCACCTTTTATGCATTCAATCAAAAAAAGTCATACATGAGTGATGCACTGTTACACATAGACCCAGCAGGTTATTGGCCATCTAGGCTATTACTGTCATTTTTAAAAGGAAAGAGTTGGAAGTTGTATACATTTCTCCCAAAGAAGTTTTTTTATTAAAAGTAGCATTCAGACAAAATCAAGTACTACCAGCAGAGGTTCTTGCCAAGAGTTTTGGTTTCTGATCAACTGATGCAACCCTCTTTAACCTATTTATTTCCTGAGAACATCTCTGCTTTCTTAAGCTTTGATCTAACTGCATCAAGCACAGATCCAGGTGGAACAGATCCCTTATTATTGGCAGTGCCATATCTCAATAGGTGTAGGTAGAGGAGCTAGATATTAAGCTGACAACAAGAAAAAAAGATAGCGGAAAAATTTTTTAAAAGAATTGTTACATTAAAAAAAAACTGGGAGATATACATAGATCAGGGATTTAAATATTAAGCATAATGATCATCACTTATTTTGATTAAGATTCTCCTATAGATGGACAGTGCCTAAGACCATGCCTTGCTCATCTCATACTAGTCTTTATTGCTTGACAATCTGCAACCAAAATGCAAAGCTATCGTATAAACTGAGTACATTTTTCTCCTTAGAGAAAACAGTAGTCACTCATTGTTTTTTCCCTAAAGAAATCTTCAAAAACCAAAATAAAGCAGTCAACTCAAATAATATTTCTGGACATTCTAGGGGAAAAACATATTTCCTTTTACGGTGCTTTTAGTTCTTTGAAATTATGTAGACATTACTGAAGTGCTCCTGGAATTATAATGAAGCATCATGATTTCAATACTGAGCCAGATCTGGATTCACAATTCAAATATCAGGAGCAGGGTTTCAAAGCTACAGTTACAGATGATTTGTTAGCCGAGCTGTATGTTTATTTCAATAACAAATAATTTAATTTGCTGTTTTCAGGGTAGATATTGTTCCCATTCTTTCTTTTCCTATTAAATCAGTTACATATAAACTACTATACTCTGAATGTCACCTCCCCCCCCATTAAATTTTCATAAACTGAAATACTTCAAGAATAAATGATTGTATTAGTGTAGGCATTCAGATTTGATTCAGTAGACACATTAAGTGCTCACTGTGTTTTAGGCATTCTGCTAGATGCAGCATATACAAAGACCAAAAACATAGTCCCTGCTCCCAAAGATGTGTCAGTATTTCAATATAAGCATAAGAATAATTGTTAACATTTACATGGTGCCTTAAAGTTTGAAAAACACTTTACAAATATCTCATTTGTTCCTCCCAACAACTCTAGAAGGTAGTTGCTATATATTATTAGCTCCTTTTTATAGATGAGGAAATGGAGACAGGTCTGATTAAATGACTTGTCAAGGGTCACACAGTGAGTACGTGTTTAAGACAGAATTTGAACCCAGGCTGTCCTCATTCCAGGTACAGTTCTCTATACAATGCTTCATCTAGCTGTGTCAAACTATGAAGGGGTTATAAACAAACACAACAATGCACAATAATTTGAGGAAGGGGAATACATTAACAATTGGAGGGATCCGCTGCCACTCTGGGACAAGCCCTTTTTACCTCTCTGTCCCCTGGACTATTAAAAAAGCTTTTCATTAGTTTCCCTTCATTTGACTTAGGGATTTTCCTAGATTGTGAGTCTGATCATGTCACTCTAACATTCAGTAAGCTGTAGTGGATCTCTCGTGTTTCCAGGACTAAGAATGAATGAATGAATTAATTAATTAATTAATTAATTAATTAGTTAATTAATTAGTTAATTAAAAAAATAAAAACTTTTTGGTACTTGAGTCTTTTCACTGCTTGGCTCCTTCCCAACTTTTCTCTTCACCTCACACTTCTCTTTCTTTCACATACTCTATAATTCAGTGATATTTACTTTACTTGTTCCTCAGACACAACATTGCTTCTGTGAGCCTTTGCCCTGGTTGTCTATCCCCCATGCCTGGAATTCTCTCGTTCCTTATCTCCACCTCTTGGATGCCCTGGCTTATGTCAATTCTCAGGGAAAAATCTAGAAGAATCCTTTCCTGATCCCCTTAATGCTAGTGCTTTCCTTCTGTTGATTAATTTATTCTGCATCTATCTTGTTTCTACATAGTTGTTTACATGTAGTCTCCCCCTTTAGACTGTGAGCTCCTTGAGAGCAGTGACTACTTTTGCCATTCTTTGTATCCCCAGAGCTTAGCACAGTGCTTGGCCCGTGGTAGGCCCTTAATAAATGCTTGTGGAGTTGACTTCCACTCTGAACCGACTGAACTTCTATTCTATGGTCCCTAGGTTTCTCCAATAGAACATGTACTGCTCGAAGGTAGTGACTGTCCTTTGTTGTTGTTGTTGTTGTTGTATCAGTAGTTCTTAGCACAGGGTCAGGCACATCACAAACACTTAATAAATGTTTTTGGATTGGTCTGGAAAAGCTTCCCATAAGACTTTGTGCATGAACTGCTCTTTAAATCAAGCCAAGAATTCTTAGAAGTAGAACTGAAGGAGAACATCCAGGCATGAGGGTGAGCCTGTGGAAAGGCAGAAAAATGACAAATGGAATTGTGATTTGGGGGAATATGAAGTGTCCCAGACAACAATTTTATAGATCAGAAGAGGCATAAGTTACTGAAGCAGGGGGGGAAAAATCAGCATTA